AAGAGTGGAGTATCATCGGGGATAAGAACAGAGGAAAGGCAATCCCCAAAGGTTGAGCCTTGGGAATTGGGGGAGTGCCCAATGTAGAGGGATGGGAAAGCCAAGGTGCTCAGGGGCTGGGGGTCCTCAGGGACTCACGGGTCGAAGACGAGGCGGGCAATATATTCCTTGGGCATCCGAGGCAGCTGGTGGGAGAAGACATTCTGCAGCCCCACAAGCCAGAGCAGCACACGCCGGTTGGCCTTGGGTGTTAGAGAGTTGCCAATGACGTGGAATTCGATGATGCCTCTACGCTCCTCCAGGCGAGCTGTTTCGTCTCGGGCCGCATTGGCTGAGAGCAGGCTCGTCTAGGCAGAAGAAGGGTGGGGGCGGGGGTAAACGAGGGCCTCAGGTGAGTGAGGCTCCCTTCCCCAACAGGTCAACAGGTTGGGCTGCCTACTTCGGGCCCCAGCATGGCAGCGGGGTCAGTGATGGTCAGCATGACCTCATTGACCAGCTCCATGGGGATGTCGCCCATCACACGAAGCCGCTTAGCATCCTCCAGGGTTAGGTTCTCAGGAAGCTTCCTTTTCTCTCCTGCTGGGGAGGATGACACGGTCACCCCGGGAGAGCAGAGAATGTGGAAGGGAAGGGGGTAGGTGGGGTGGAGAGGTCAGGGTTCAAGTGCCCACCTGGCATGGGCTCTGCCCCTGTGGAATCTAGGCTCAGCGAGCTGTTGCTGGCCCCACCCATGGTGGGACTGAAGATGGGAGTGCTGGGGACAACCGCTGCACTGACCGTCGCTGCAAGAGGAGAGAAGTCAATGACGGAAGTGGAGAGGGTGGCGGGGTCTTCAGGAGGATCCCGGCTCTCTCAGCCCTATCTGAGCCCCACGGTGTCTTACCACTGCTGCCACACCCCACCACTCTGTCATCCCAGAGGCAGCAGGCCAGCCAGGGTGGCCCTCGAAGGCCCTGCAGAGAGAGCTATTGGGCCACCAACCTGGCCGGGGCACCAGCTGCGTGCCCTCTGAGGGTGGCATGGTGAAGCCCGACTCCCAGATGGGAGAATTTGCCCCGTAGATCTCTTCCTCAAGCATGGACAGGAACCTGTGGGGAGGGTACAACTGTCCCACGACTCCAGCCTTCAACAGGGAGTAGCCTGGGCCAGACCCCAGAGGGACGAGAGGCCAGACAGACAGACCCTGTTCTCGGTGGGTGGGAGGAGAGAGCAGCTTCTGCTGTCTGGGAAGGCCTAGTATGCAGAGGGAGGCTCAGATCTCCGCCTGCTGAGGACAGGACACAACCAGGATAGAGATTAGAGACCCAGTTTTGCCATGATGTATGGCACAGGAGAACGGGTCTGAGCTGATGCTATCTCATGCTGTGTGGCCAGGCAGGGCACTCAGTCACCAATTCCCTCATTCCCCTCTGTGTCAAACTGGCCTGAAAATTACCCAGTCTTGCCACCTCTTGTCCCCACATGCTTGCTCCCAGCAAAGTTTTTTTTTTTTTTTTTTTTTTTTGACTAGGGAGCTATGACCCAGATTCAAATGGAGGGAAGGTGTGGCACAATACAGGCAAATGCACATAGAAAGGACTAGAACAGAGATGGGTAACTGGCTTCCCCTCAGACGTAAACTGACTCCTTGGAGCACTGTGGTGGGAGGGGTTCTGAGGCTGCATCCAGGAGCCCACAGGAAACTATTAGTAACAATCTACCAGGGGGTTGGGAAGGGGTAGCGTTAGCTTGGGCCATGTACCTGCCATCCCCAGACTAGCACATACTAGCAAGTAGCTTCTGGGCCATGGGCAAATCTGCCAGGTAGACACCCAGATCCCAGAAGGCCCATGGAGGGAGAGGAGGGACCAATCCAGGAAGTCTTCCTGGAAAAAAGGGGACAACAGCGAGGACATGAATTTGGGGGCAAAATCCCAACAGGCCAGGCCGAGCCTTACTTGGGGAAGTGAGTGAGGATAAGGGTCCTCTTCTCAGGCACCAGCTTGTCCTTCTCCACCCGAAACTTTTCCAGTAGCTGCCGCCGGGTGACAGTGAAAATGGACCGCAGGAGGCTTCGGCCAAAGACGTGGGTGGTCTCATAGCGGGGGAGGCTATCGCAGCTCTGGGGCACGTGGCAGTAACAGAGCCACCTGGGAAAGGTGGCATGGTAGGTGAGCATGGAGATCACCGGACCATACACACCTCCCCGGTGAGGCCCAGCCTGGGCTTACCTGGTATAATTGACCTTGTAGGTAGCGACATCCTCAGACTGGGATCGCTGCCGGAACTGGGCAGGCGTTTCCAGCTTCCAGTAGTTAAGGCAGAGCAGGAACATCTTTGAGAGCTCAAACATTGTCTGCCGCTCTCGGGGGGCCAGGTGGCTAAATTTGTACTGTACAAAGTTCAGGACGCCCTGAGAATTAGGGAGGAAACAAAAAAACAAAACAAAACAAAACAAAACCAGTAGAGGGCATGAGCAGCCAGCAGAGGCACCTCAAATACGAGCGGAAGGAGGCTCTCCCCTCGCTCTGGGGCTCTGTGAAGAGAAACTCTGACCCTTTCAACTTCCACGCCCACCCTGAGGTCAGCAGACAAACCGTGTCCCTTCTTTGAACCTCTCTCCTGTTCTCGGCTTGAGGAAGAAGAACAGACTCCCCAACCCCCTAAGCTGCCCCTCAGTTCTGCTCTTACTACAAGCATGCCTGTCCTACCTGCTCGATGTTAGGCTTCTCAAACGGAGGGCTGCCTAGGGATCCCTCCACCACTGGCCGAGTCATCTGCAGGATGCATTTCCGTAGGAGCTGTAAGGAAGAGAGATGGGGAGAAAGAGGCGTAGTGGACAGAACCTAGAGAACCAGACCCCCAACACACACAAAGGCCTTGCCGCCTTTACTCTTCTGTTCCACGAAAGCTCACCTTGAAGAGGTAGAAATACACCTGTTTGGTGTCCGTGTCCTCTTCCTTGTGAACAGACATGAACAGATTTTCCACGTCGACTACCATTCCCAAGAGCCGGTTAATCTCATCCTCTGACACATTCTCCAGGTGGGACACATGGTCCGCTGCAAGACCATTACGTTAGGGTTGGGAAGAACAGATAGAAGAAAGCCATGGGCCTTTGCTTGATTCCTGTACCTCCTCCTGACTATCTGATCATCCTCCAATCCTTGAGGGACAGGGAGACCCAGTGTTCCCAGTTCTTCCAGAAGCCCTTGGTAGCTCCCTGCTTCTTCTGGGAAGGCCGATTTCCTTTTTCCTTCCTCAGAACATACACATACAGTCCCAACCCGGTCTTTCTTTAGGAGTCTCTCTGGTTTCTCTATGAGGCTTTATGGTACTTATGTCACCCTGTCCAAACAGGACCTGGCACCTGGCCTCCGCCCCAGCTCCGAAGATGCTTGCCTGCCTTACCCAAGGGGTGCTCACAGCTACGGCATAGCTCGCTCAGGTTGGCAGCTGGCTGCTGAAGGTCCATGCGGGGTGCAGTGGGGGGCTTGGGGTTTTTCCAGCCATTACACTTGCAGGTTTCATTGGCCTGAAGGCGGAAGGATCAGTCACCTGATGCTGCAACCCCAAGCGCAAGAGCGGCCCTGCCGCTAGAGCTTCGCCCCCATTTCCCACCCCGAGCCCTAGGATGCCCCAAGCCCCGCCCCTCTCACCCTAGGCCCCGCCCCCACCTTGCAAGCTGAGAAGACCCCTAGTTTCTCAAGCTTCTTGGCACGCGGCAGCCCCCGGACTTGCGCCTTCCTCTGGCTAGCGCGCTGCTGCTGGCTCAGGCCAGGTCGAGCCGGATCCCCCCCACTCCCCGACCCCCCACTTCCTACCCCGGCCCCCCCAGTCCCTGTGCTCCCGGCTGGTGCTGCAGCCGGGGCAGGAACTGGTGCCGGAGTAGGAGCCGGAGTAGGGGCTGAAGCCGGACTGGGCGCAGGAGTTGGGGCCGGGGCAGGGGACTGAAGGGGCCGGGGCTGCGCGGCCGGGGCCGGGTTTGGGGCCTGGGAAGGTTCCGCCATGGCCTCCCCCGCAGCGGAGCGGCGCCGCGCTCCCAGCCCTAGGGCCGCATGGGCAACCGGAGCACAGTGCGCAGGCGTCGCTGCCCCGATGCATTATGGGAGTCGTAGTCTTAACTTGCCGCTTTCTATGCCTTGGCCTTCCAGACTTGTCTGCCCTGTTTCTCGGTTCCAGACAACCAAGCGTCGATCGATTGAGCATCCTAGATTGACCACTACTTCGTACTAGTCTTTTTAAACCATCTGGGATAGTTACAATTACTGTTCTTTTGGAGGCAAGGGGCAACCCAAAACACTGGCAGTGTGAAAGCTTTGTGGGCTGTGCTCTTTTTAAAGTCCATAGGTGGAAGAACAGGCCTCGATTTGGGCTTGGCTCCCGCAGTACAAAAGCCTGCTCCAAGTGGCTGCCATCTCAGAAGTGCAGCTACAATAGAGATGAAATGTAACATTAATTCTACATTTGCTTTTGTGTGGTGTTGACACAGATGGATTAACTTTGACATTCGGCTTTTTCTGTACTTTAGATTGCAGTTAAGCAGAAACAGTTTATTTTCAAAAGAACACAGAGTAGTGGGCCATGCTGCTGAGGCTGGTGTGTGTGTGTGAGGGAGAGAAAGGGGGAGGGGATGGAGGGGAAAAGAGAAAGGAGTAGAGAGGAGCTGAGATTGGTAAATGAGCGAATTAAAGAACCGGAGACATTGCTAGCCCACATTGCAGATATGGGGGGGGGAGGGCATTTTTGTTCTATGACTAGGCAAATAGGACTTACCCAGCCTTAAAGCTGGAGCAAAGATCCCTCACTTTATTCCCTTCTTTCCCTCTTATCTCCATCTTTCCCCTGGCTACCCCTTAGGGGAGTTAAAAAAAGAAAAAAACAAAAACAAAAACAAAAAAAAAAAACCCAGAGACATAACCAGTTTCTTCCCACCCAAGTGTTAGTTCAGGACTGTGACAGGTCAAGGAGAGACTTCTTTCTGGAAGACCAGGAAGGCCCTGCTCCTCTTCTGTCTCAGTCAATGGAACAATCTTCCTTGCCCCAGGCCTCATTCTTAAGAGGTCAGCGTAGTCCAGGGCAGGACAGGGCAGACCTCTTTAAACCTGTTGCCCAATCCCTTCGGAGATAGAGAGGTTGAAATCCCGCATATTCAGGGTGCTCCAGTTCCTTCACAGGCTCCTGCCCTCATGTAGGTAAGGGAAGGACCCAGGGAAGAGCAGGTCCCGGACAAAAGCAGCAGTGGGAAACTAGGTCACTAACAACCTGCCGGCTTTCAAAGACCGACGCAGGGAGCCGACTTGAGCGCTTGCCTCTCCGGATGGGAAGAGTGGGCGAGCCCTGCCTCTACGCAGATACCCAGAGAATTCTGGGAGCCCCCGTGCCCTCTGGCAGCAGTTGCTATCTCGGGATGCAGCGGGTAGGGGGCAGTTTCTCCACCGGGCAACAAGAACGGGGGGAGAACCGGGTGGCGTCCCGATGTCCCAGCGCGGCCTTCGCTGAAGGAAATCAAGTGGACACCCTACCGGTGCGGCTGCTCAGGGATGATCTGGCTGCGGTTCAGGGCGATGACCATGCCGAACAAAGTTTCCAGATGAAGGTGGCCGCCCATGGCTTCACTCCGGAGGAGTTGGTGGTGCAAGTGGACGGTCAGAACCTGATGGTGACCGGTGAGCGGCTGCAGGAGTCGAATGACCCGGTCAGGGGCAGCTACCGCCTAGAGCATAAGGTGCACCGGAAAGTGCAACTCCCACCGAACTTAGATCCAGCAGCCATGACGTGTAGTCTGACGCCTTCTGGCTATCTGTGGGTCCGTGGTCAAAACAAGTCGCTACATCCCTCGGAAGCCCAGATAGGCCAGGCCCCGAGACTTAGGAACCGGGAGCTGTAAGGGTGCCAAACCTACCCTGACCCAATAAACAACCGAGATGTGCAGCAGCATTGAGAGTCCGCTGGCGGTTTTTTCCTGGGGATGGAGGGAGGGGAGTGGCCAGGGGAGGCATCTCAAGGTGGCAGTACACCAATAACTAGGGGCTCTGAGATAAATTGGAGGGGCTTGTGGACATAGCCAACACCAACAACTCCAGCAGGGAGCAGGAAAGGCTGGGATAACCTAGGTGCGGCCCATGTTCATAGTCGGTAGGTGGTCTTGAACCTGGATGGACAATGCTGAACCTGGCACGGGGGTATTGTAGTGATGGGCTGCAGCACTGGCCTTGCGACTGATCCTCTGTGTTCCTCATCAGGGAGAGGCAATAAGATGAGTCTCAGAGTCCTAACGCAGTCCTACCAAGAAAACCCTCAGGTCATTTCAAACACACCAACAATCCTCAAATACAGGGTGCACAGCCTTTAATGTAAGCCGAGGGGAGCCAGCTGTCAGCTCCAGGTTGAGCACTGTCCTCCTACACCAGAGCTGCCAACAGCAGGGCCTCTTTCTTTTGGTTACCATGACCACCAGCATCCTCTCACACACAGGGGACAGAGCCATTTAATCAGATTGGATGATTCATTTTAAATTAACTTCAGGAGAAATAGAGAGGATATGCATGGTCTGATAAACCGCTGGAGAAAGACGAGGAAGACAAGTGTGGAGTCGATCGATCGGCTGACTATATTGACAAGATACTGATTGGTTACATGTTGAAGAAAACATACAATACAAAATACAGAAAAAGTTGGTTCCATCCCCTCCCACTCCCCCCTTACCCACCCACCCCAAATACTCATCATCGTGATTTGGTCAGAACAGGGCTCAGAGCCAGAGGTCAGGGTGACCGAGGGTGGAGGGGCCCTGGGCCATAGGGTGTGTGGCTGTCACAAATGATGCTTCAGTAATGCTGCGGTTTCTCTCCCAGCTGGGAGTTAGGTGGGGAGGGGGCTGCAGCCTGATGACAGCTAGCCGAGGGAAGAGCTGCCTGTCCCTTCCCCAGCCCAGGGCCTGCTCACTGCCCCAGGCCAAGAGCTCTCCCAACAAGGTAAGATGTGGGCATTCTTGCTGAGTCTGCTCTCCAGCAAGAAGGAAAGAAAGGGCAACTGTTCCAACCCCTGTTCCCACAATGAGGGGTACAGGAGCATGGCTACTAACAGCAAAGGGCAAGTGGGAGAGCAGAAGAGAGGGAACTGGGAAGAGCAGAAGATCATATATATTAAAAAAGTGACTTAAGACTTAAAATTGAATTAGTATTTGTACAGAAAGGTGCAGGTGGAATAACTCCCTCCAGCCTAGGATCAAAGTTATGCGGAGGATTCATGATGGACCCTTCCCCTGCCCCCAGTGGTGGCCCGAGTCGTTAAGTGCGATTGGTTAGAGTGGATTCCAGTCGGGTCGTTCTGGTGGAGGAGTGGGGGCACTGGCAGGTAAGGGGGGCTCAGTTGCTGCAGCACTGGCTTCGGCTGGCTGGGTTGCTCTCCTGCAGATCCACACCTCTGTTCCGCCCTGGAGCACCAGCTGCATTCTGGGGCTCATTCTTGGGAAGCTTCTTAGCTGTTTGAGAGAGAAGGGGAAACACTGTGGGCCCACCCTAACTAACACGCTCCCCTAATGAGTGACAACCAGAGTACTGGAGGGTTTGTGTGCCAGGTGCACTGTGTGTCTCTGGAAACTGAAGCAGAGAGGTTAATAATTTGCCCCAAACCAGAGTGACAGCAGCATTGCCAGGATTTGAACCTAGGCAGAACGACTCCCGAGGTCCTATGGGGAAGGGATGGCCATGGAAGGCTCTGATATGGGCAGAGTGTAACATGGAGACTCTGGCCCAGATGTTATAAACTTCTGCATCCGAGTCAGCTAGACAACAATTTTATCCATTTAAAATGGTGGAAATTCTGTTCAGGGAGGCGCCTCACAATCCCACTAAAACCAGCATACACGGTTCTTCTCTGCCCAGGGGAAAGACAGGGGAAGGGCAGTTTACCTATTGCCATGAAAATCTCATTCACGTTCATTGCCGTCTTCGCGGATGTCTCCATGAACAGCAAACTGTTGTCATCTGCGTAGGCTTGTGCTTCCTGAGTCAGGCATGTGAGGAAGAAGAGGGTGGGAGAGGAATGTTGGTGGATGGCAGGGGCTAGGGCACAGGATAAAATCTTCCTTGGTCTCTGTCCTTATAAAACAGAGACTAGGCAAATGCAGGGCTTCAGGCTTGGGGCTTCCCTGTTCTGGGTTTCCCCAAAACACCAACACCACCTGGCCCACACTCACGAGGTACAGCTCTCAGTTCACAAATATTGCCAGATTCTTATTCAGTGGCTTCCCTAGGCCCTCTCTGCCTACTTCTCTTCAGCATCACTAGGCAAGAGACCCTTCTGCAAAGATGCACATACATTCGCACGTCCAGACAAAAGCCGAAGAATGTGGGTGCTGCCTGCAGCACTGTTCCTAGCCCTCAGCGTTACAAATAGCTTAGGAGGCCACCAGTGAGGAGGTGCCAAACATGAACTGCAGGGTGTGGAGAGGTTCTCACCACTGTGATCCCAGCACTTGGGAGGTAGAAGCATGGAGTTCCGAGGTCAAGGCCAGCGGCCTGGGCTACATGTCATATGAGATTCTCCCCTCCTACTCCACAAACATATGACACTGTAACATACAGTACATGTGGTACACAGCATGCTCCCATCCACTTTGTAAAGAAAAGGATTCATAAAGTGTACTTTTTGTTTACCACACTGGCCTCGAACTCACAGACTCACCTGCCTCTGCCTCCAAGTGCTGGGATTAAAAGTGTGCATCACCACTGCCAGGCTAAACATGTACATTTTTAGAAAGAAAAAAACCTGGGAATTCTGGATAAGAGAGGCTGGGTTTCTCAGACTAAAGAGACTAAACTCATTCTTTACACCTTCTTGGACTGTTTAAATTTTACTCCATGCTTGCATTGCCTAGAGAAGTACTGTTTCAGTCCATTTGGTTTATAAGGCAAACGTGCAGAGTGTCACCTATCCACTCCCCCCCCAACAACACAAAGAGTACCACGAAGTTTGTGACCTGTGCTTGAGTCATGAGCGGGCAGCAGAGGAGAGCTGCCACCACCTGCCACTTTACACGGCCCAAGCAGTCTAGGGAGGCCTTCCTCAGAGCCGGTTCACCCTTCCCCAGCTTCTGTCATCTCCTCACCTGGAACTCCACGGCTCTCTTGCTGGCCAGGTCTGCCTTGTTACCTGCGAGTGCAATCACGATGTTGGGGCTGGCCTGCCTTTGTAACTCCTTCACCCAATTCTTAGCCCGTGCAAATGTATCCTGAGGAGAGACGATCAAAGCGTCAAAGGGAAGATGAGACATTCTACCCAGGGCCACTCACTAGCAAGCACAAACTGGCACAGCCATAAGGCATCTGAGACATCAACCCTGAGGATTTTCATGTGAGAGCCCCCAACCAACAGAAAATTTGCCCATATCCCACTCGGGAACAGAAGGCACAGAGGTCTGAAATGAGGTTTTTGTAACCCAATTCTTGGGGATTTACAGACACGAAGGGCAAGGAGAAAAGAAGGGAAATCTTTACTGTGTTGGTGATGTCATAGACCACAATGGCTGCTTGGGCACCCCGATAGTACATTGGGGCCAGGCTGTGATATCGTTCCTGTCCAGCTGTGTCCCAGATCTCAAACTTGACCGTTGTATCGTCTAAGCAGACAGTCTGTGTGAGGAAAGCCGCTGTAAGAGAAAAGGTGGTGTCATTAGGCAAGAAAGAACTGGAAAGCACCCTGACTTATTCTGTTTGGTTCTGGCATGTAGAAGCCTGTCCAGGCAGGGCAGGTGGGGCCTGCACTCGTGTGTTGTCTGGGAAGGGCCTGCACTTGAGGTACCCTGCAAAGCACAGCAAGGGCCAGAGAAGGGAGGCCTGGGGGAACCCTGATGCCGAGCCCTCAATTCCCCCTAGCCTTCCTTCTGCTGCCTTTCACAAATGCACTTCAGCTCAGGGGTGACTGTGACCTTCAGTTTCGGGAAGGCATTCTCACTGGGAAATATATATTGTCAAACTGCCAGGCTGGGTGGCTGGCTTCCCAACCACCCCTGCCACCTCCAGGCGCTCCAACTAGCCACCATCCCCACTGTGACCCAGAATCATTCCTGAATGGCCAGCCTGTGGTTTGAATACAGACACTACCTGAGATGGGAACACAGGGCACTGAGGCAAACATGCTTTGAAGGAGAATCCCTGGAGCTGGGACAGACAGGTAGGGTTTCCCCACACACTGGACCTAGCAGAGGATTATGACAGCTCTGTGGGAAGCTCTTTTCCTTGTCGTCCCACCCCCACCTCCCAGCCCACTGAGGAGCCTGGGCGCCACCTCACTTCCCCCTCTAGAGCTCCTGACAGTGCTGAGGAGGCAGCTAAAAGACTGCTGACATGGCCAATTCTGTTTCCAGCTGCCTAGAAACTCCTACCAACCAAGAGAGCGAGAAGGATGACTCAAGTCCAAGGGTGGCCCTGGCCTCTCGAGGTTCACATTGACTACAGATGCGAGAGGCTGAGTTCAGAGTCTTAATCACATCCTAAATGCTGACCAACAGGGAGTCAGTGGCACCTTCTGAGCCCCAGAGAAGACAGGACACACACACTACCCTGCAGGAGAGAAAGTAAAAAAGAAAAGACACCCCCCCCCCAAACTACAGCTAGCCCTCCGTGATGCCACATCAGTGGAAGGGGTTGTCACAGCCACACAAATAATAAAGAGGCTGGAACAGAGGAGGAAGCCAGTTTTCAATCCCTAGATGATTTTTAGAACTCTTGCTTTTGGGAATGAAGCATGAAGACTGAGGGCTAGACTCAATTTCAGGGCCCACTGATCAAAAGGTGCTCTGGGGCCAGACAGATTTAGTCTCTGCACAACAGTGGTCCCTCTCCTCCGGGCTCCTTAGGCCTTCCCAACACTCCTGGGCTACTCACCTCCAATTGTGCTCTCCTGGTACTCGTGGAACTGTCCCTTGA